TAGTTGAAGTCATGTAGTGGGTTGGTTATAGGCTAGTTATAGCAGCGTTATTTTGGGGTTAGTGGGTGCTAAATTAGGATTATGCTCTGTATTAAATACTTAGTTATAGCAGCGTTATTTTGGGGTTAGTGGGTGCTAAATTAGGATTATGCTCTGTATTAAATACTGTATCTTTTGTATCTGTTAATTAAGGAAGTTGAGTCAAAAAAATCAAAAAAATTTTGTGTGTTCTGTTTTTTCTATTACCGAAACTTCCAACAATTTTGGTATCAGAGCCAAAGGTGAGAGATCAGGGCAGATCCGACCATGGCAGAGAACATGAGCGTTTTGAATCCGTCAATTCCGCAGTTCAAGGGACACAACTACGAGTTCTGGAGCATCAAGATACGAACTTTGCTCAAGTCGCAAGGTCTATGGGAATTGGTGGAGACGGGAGCACCGGACACAGATCCCACACCAACAGAAACAGCGAAGCGAGATGCGAAGGCATTGTTCTTCATTCAACAAGCCGTTGTTGACACGGTGTTCACAAAAATAGCAGTAGCGGCATCGGCAAAGGAGGCATGGACAACCCTGAAAACCGCATTCCAGGAAAATTCGAAAGTTCGCGAGATAAGGCTACAAGGCTTGAGAAGAGAGTTTGAGCCGTTGAACATGAATCAAGGCGAATCTGTTCAAGCATTTGTCACAAGAGTCACATCCATCGTCAACCAAATCAAGAGTTGTGGCGAATATCTCACAGAAAAGATCGTGGTTATGAAGGTGCTCCGCAGCCTTACAGCAAAATTCGACCATGTCGTGGCAGCAATTGAAGAGTCCAAGGACCTGTCCACATGCTCTTTCGACGAGTTGATGGGTTCGCTGCAAGCCCATGAAGTACGACTTCTCAGATCTGAAGAGAAGGATGATTCTAAGGCGTTCCTCACCAGAGGCAACTCAAGTAGAGGAAGAGGTCGCAGCGGTAGAGGTTGTGAACGCGGATCTTCAGCCACGTGAAGAAACCGCGTGAAGAGAACGAGAGTGGGGCCCAGTTTCCACGTGAAGAAATAAAACGCGTTCAAGAGTTCACATGTGTGAACGCGGTTTCGTAGAAGTGGGCCACACCCGAGTTGACAGATCTGTTTCCTCTACTTATAAATACCCTAATTTCTTCTAGGTTTTTTTTAGGTGCTCGGAAAATAAAACAGTAGGCAGGTGCAAAGAATTTCTTTTGCGGCTACGGAGAAAATAGTAGTGTGGGGAAATTGAATTTTTGCCTGTGAATTTTTTCGGCTGAGTGCAGAGGAGATTTTTTTTGTGCAGTGCTTTTGTTTTGCTTTTGAGAGAGATAATTGTGTGAGAGATTTGAGAGATTGTGTGAGGGTTTAGATTGAGTAATTGTAAACCCTAGTTGTATTCTCTCCCTCTAATAGTAGATCTCCCCCTCCTTGCCTCGTGGACATAGGCAGTTTGCCGAACCACGTAAAATTTGTTTTTTGTGTTTGTGGTCATTGTAATAGTTTTAGGATCCCTCGACAAGTCAGTCCTAGAACTGATGAGAGGAAGAGCCGATATCTTACTTTGTTGAGATATTCGATTCAGATTCTTACTTTCTTGGTGAGACGGGAATTCTTATTGATCTTTCTCTCTTATTGTGTACTAGAAACTCTGCCGAAATTTCCGCTGCGCACAACAGAGGTCGTGGAAGAGGCACGAGCAGCGGGGACAACCGTCAACAACAACAAACAACAAAGAAGGATATCGAGTGCTACTATTGCCACAAGTTCGGTCACGTCAAGGCAGATTGCTACAAGAAGAAGAGGGAAGACGGACAAGGCAAGCAAGGCATTGAATGCCACTATTGTCACAGAATCAGCCATGTGCAGGCTGATTACTACAAGAAGAAGCGTGAGGAAGAGCAAGCCAATGTTGTAGAGGAGAAAGGCACCGAAACCATGCTCTTCATGGCAAAAATTGATAAGAAATCAGACGTGAGTCAAGTTTGGTTCCTGGACAGCGGATGTTCTAATCACATGTCCGGTTACAAGTATCTCTTCGAAGAATTGGACGAGTCATACAAGAAGCCTGTGAGTCTCGGCAACGACAAACAAATACAAGTTGAAGGTATCGACAAGGTGGCTATCCAAACTGCAAACAATACAAGGTATCTACAAAATGTATACTACATCCCGCAACTTTCAAAAAATATCCTAAGCATCGAGCAAATGATGGACAACGGGTATGCGATCAAATTCGAAGGCAACACTTGTAAAATTGAGGAGTCATCAACAAAGCATGTGATGGCAACCATTCGGAAGACACAAAATAACTTGTTTCCGCTGGAAATAACAGAGGTTGATGATACTGCACTTGCAATTATGGAACCTAATCAAAGCAGATTATGGCATCTAAGGTACATGCATTTAAATATTAATGGTTTGAAATTACTAAACCAGAAAAATATGGTGATAGGACTACCAGAGATAGAGGAAGTCGGGTTATGCGAAGGTTGTACACTTGGCAAACAATCCAAATTGCCATTTCCGAAGGATCAATCTCTCCGTGCAACTCGAGTACTTGAATTGGTGCATACCGACCTATGTGGGCCCATGGAGACGAGTTCAATAGGAGGAAGTAAATATTTCATGTTGTTCATCGACGATTTCAGTAGAATGACATGGGTATTCTTCATTACCTATAAAAGCAAAGCATTTAAGATGTTCAAGAAGTTCAAAGCCATGACTGAAACGCAAACCGGCATGAAACTGAAAGCGTTAAGATCGGATCGGGGTGGTGAGTATCAATCAACCAAATTCAAGAAATTTTGTGAACAAGAAGGCATCTTGCAGCAACTAACCACACCCTACACCCCCGAGCAAAACGGTGTAGCCGAGCGAAAGAACCGAACCATTGTTGAGTTGGCAAGAAGCATGCTGAAATCAAAAGGCATATAGAATTCTTGTTGGGCAGAAGCCGTAGCCACAGCAGTCTACATCCTCAACCTTTCACCGACAAAGCCAGTCATGAACAAAACTCCGTATGAGGCGTGGTTCGGAAGGAAACCAACTATGAGTCACTTACGAGTCTTTGGATGCATTGCCTTGTATTTGACTACAACGAAACATTCTCCCCTGTTGCGAGGTTTGAAACCGTTCGACTCTTGTTAGCACTAGCTGTCCAATTAAAGCAACCAAACTTTCAACTCGATGTTAAGTCTGCTTTCTTGAATGGAGAACTAATGGAAGAGGTGTATGTCGAGCAACCTGAAGGCTTCAAAATCAAAGGCAAAAAAAACTGGGTGTATCGGCTCTACAAAGCACTTTATGGCTTGAAGCAAGCCCCACGAGCGTGGTATAGCAAGGTAGATGCATGCTTTCAGACCTTGGGGTTCACGAGAAGCAAGAACGAGTCGAATCTCTATCAAACATAACATAGGTCTGCTGGTTGTTTGTTTATATGTTGATGATATGATCTACTTCGGTACAGATCAAGGAATGGTTCAAACATTTAAAGAACAAATGATGCGTATGTTCAAGATGAAAGATTTAGGTAAGATGCATTACTTTCTAGGGCTAGAGATTGAGCAAGAAAAAGGTCATATGTTCATTTCTCAGAGGAAGTATGCCAAAGATCTAGTCGAGAAGTTAGGAATGAAAGGATGCAATCCCGTGCAAACACCATCTGATGTCAATGAAAAACTCACAGCAAAGGATGGCACATAACATATTGATGCAACACGATTCCGAAGTTTGGTTGGAGGCTTGATGTATTTGACACACACACGTCCCGACATCTCGCACGCAGTTAGGGTCATCTCAAGGTTCATGCAAACACCGACCAAACAACACATGGGTGCAGCAAGAAGGATATTAAGGTATGTTACAGGCACAACGAGCTATGGCCTGTGGTACAAATCTGTGGAGAATCCAAGTTTAATTGGGTATAGCGATAACGATTGGGCAGGGAGCCTAGACGATAGAAGGAGCACATCCGGGCAAGTGTTCTTCTATGGCGACAATGCAATTTGCTGGAATTCAAAGAAGCAATCAACCGTTTCACTTTCCACAGCTGAAGCGGAGTACAATGCTGTGACTTCAGCTGCACGTCAAGGGGTCTGGCTTAGACGCATGCTAGAAGAGTTAAATTGCAAGCAAAAAGGAGCAACAATAATACTATGCGACAACCAGTCAACGATAGCAATGAGCAAAAATCTGGTGTTTCATAGTCGTACTAAGCATATTGATACAAAGCAACACTTCATCCGAGAGTTGGTTGAGCAAAAGGAAATCGAATTGGAGTATGCTAATACGAATGAACAAGTTGCAGATATCATGACCAAGGCTCTTGCAAGAGAGAAGTTTGTTTGGTGTCGAAGAATGATGGACGTAGATGACTTTGGATTAAGGGGGAGTGTTGAATGTAATTCAAGTCAGCAGCCAAGTCAGCAAGGCGCATAAGGGCTGCAGTTTCCAGAAGCTACGTTTTTAGTTGTAGGTCTATTTTTGTTAAGAATAAGTTGTAATCTGGTTGTTAATTATAGGCAGCCACATTCTTTTTGTTTAGAGGTGTGCTGGAATTAGTTTAGAGAGGGTAGTTTCCATATTTAGTTGAAGTCATGTAGTGGTTTGGTTATAGGCTAGTTATAGCAGCGTTATTTTGGGATTAGTGGGTGCTAAATTAGGATTATGCTCTGTATTAAATACCGTGTCTTTTGTATCTGTTAATTAAGGAAGTTGAGTCAAAAAAATCAAAAAATTCTGTGTGTTCTGTTTTTTCTATTACCGAAACTTCCAACATTAGACACCTCAAGTTCAGGCGTTTCCTTGGGACAAATGTCTTTGGGGTTTGATGGGAAACCCCCAAAGTTCAGGGGGTTTTGTGAAACTAACCTATTTAACCTCTCCTCCACGTTTCTTGCATAGCCTGTTAATTGGACCAGCACACGGTCAAAAACCATGCAAGCCTTCCGCAGACATAGAACATAGTTTTGGAAAAAAAAGACACCAAATACAGTAATCCACTTGGCTCTCTCCAAGCCTCAAAGGCCGCTTAGTCCTCCTATTTATTCCCTTCTCATTTCTACCCTGATTCGTATATCTCATAAACTCTTCATTGAACTTAATCAAGCTAAAAGACAGCGCAAAAATGGGCCAAAGAGGGGATGACAAGATAGCTTTCAGCGAAGAGCAAGAAGCCCTTGTGGTCGAATCGTGGAAGGTTATGAAGAAGGATGCAGCATCATTGGGACTAAAGCTCTTCTTGAGGTCTTACTCTCATTCTATCCTTTATACTGTTCTATTAGTTTCTGCAAATAATATTTTTTATTCCATTATACACAACTGCGTTCCTGATGATTTTCGCTATGTTAATTAGTACGAAAAGGCTGTCCATGAAATTTTAGAAAACGAGTGATCAGATCATAAAATTCTCTACGAATGTGTACTATTATTATTATTATTTTAAGATTTTATTGTCTTTTAGGGTGTTTGAGATTGCTCCATCAACAGCGAAGCTCTTCCCTTTCTTGCGCGACTCAAACGTGCCCCTTGAGAAGAACCCGAAGCTCAAACAACATGCCATGTACGTATTCATTATGGTACGTTATTTTTCTTCTCTGTATTTGTGCGCGTGTGCCCGTGCATGATTATGTGTTGTTCCTGCTTATTTTTAAAATTTGTTACCTTCTTCTTATAAATTGTTGCTTCATTTTGTGTGAAGACTTGCGACTCAGCGGCACAATTGAGGAAGGAAGGTGAGGTGACTGTGAAGGACACAACCTTGAAGAAGCTTGGGGCTTCTCACTCCAAGTATGGTGTGCTTAATGAACATTTTGAGGTGCAAAATCAAACTCTAGGGCTAAAACTTGCATATTACATTGATCAACAACATGTCGAATTCAATATTTTAATTACCGTACTAATTTCTAGAAACATATTTCCAGTACATAGAATTACATTCAAGCAAGTTTACTGTCATTCTCAGTGTGGTTACCGGTCCAACACGTTATTGAAATTTACAATGCAATATATTATTATTATTTACAAAGTTTATGATATATTGTTTAATATGAAAATACAAAATCTATTAGCATTTGACCTGAGCAACAACATGACGGGACCTTAACAACAACTGACCGCATAAGCATTCAGTAATGACAAAGTTTGCATATGTATGTTTCCATGATTCGTGTATAAGTTGACCTATGATGCAACTTTAAGCATCACATTTTTGGACTGTTGTCTGTAAATCCTAATCTTAGACATAATTTATTTTGGAGATGGATTAGATTGCAGACTTGTTCTGGGTGGAAGTAAACTTTTATGACTTATGTACAGAGTTGACATGTAATTCAAATCTAAGCATCAAATTTTCGGAGTATTGCATGTTCCTAATCTTAGAGAAAAGTGAGAGGTACGTTGCCTGATGGTTTTGGTTTGGATGTAGGTGCTGAGGTTTGCACTTTTGGACACAATAAAGGATGCTGTCCCTGACATGTGGGGTCCAGAGATGAAGAGTGCTTGGACTGAAGCTTATAATCAGCTGGTTGCTGCTATCAAACAAGAGATGAGGCGATCATCTTAAGCTTTGGCGCATTTCGCATTTGTTAGTTATGGGCGTCACTAAGCCATGTCTGTCGTGTGATTAATAAAGTCCTTTTGGATAAGTACGTGTTTACTCTATTCAGGTGCTTGTTGCTCTTAATAGAGAATTTGTGTTTTTTCAATTTAAATTGTGGAACCGACTCAACCAACGATTGAGATAAATGAAATGATTATCCTTTAACAATATATATATATATACAAGTCCTCTGAATATCATATTTATGTATGGATACATGCCTCCCAAATCATCATATATATCTGGATACAAGGTCGTCCTATATTGTATGTTTGGATACAAGCCTTCCAAATCATCATATTTCATACTAGTCCTCCAAACTATTAAGTTCTTTGAAACAAGTCCATATGTTTAATCCCATCCACTTAATCCAACTAAACTAACGGGACTATTGGGAATTAGATTTTAAATTAGAGAAACTTTTTTGAAAACTTAGCATAATAGAGTTGGTTTTTGTTTACGACCATAATTAGCGTAAATGTTAATCTTCCTCCTAGAGCCTGTGAATGGGTGGGGGCCACAGTGTTGGCCAAGTAAACCGCGTGAAAATGATTCACGTGAAATGATAATGGACCACGGGTGAAGGCAAAGCTAAGATCCAGCGGACAAGTCCTGAGGCCCAAGTTCGCATTGGTTGTAAACCGCATCACTAGGCTATTTATACCCACGAGATTTTCTAGGGTTCTGTGCGCAAGTTTGGGGTTTACATTGGCGGTTGCAGCAGGAGAAAAGAAGGAGCAGCGGCTGTCTCTTCGGGTGTGCAGAGGCGGCATTTGAAGTCGGCTGTTCTCTTTTCTTTGGTGGCGCTGGCAGAAGGCTTTTGTTAGGGTTTTGTGCATCGTTTTGAGAGAGATATTTGTATGAGGGATTAGAGAATTTGTGAGAGGGTTTAGGTTGTGTGATTGTAAACCCCAGTTGTATCTCTCCCTCTAATAGTAGATCTCCCCCTTCTTGCCCCGTGGACGTAGGCTATTTGCCGAACCACGTAAAAGTTGTGTTCTTGCCGTGATTTGTAATAGCTTGTAGGATCCCTCGACGCGCAGTCCTAGAGCTGACGAGAGGACCCTCGACGCGCAGTCCTAGAGCTGACGAGAGGAAGAGCTGATATCTCACTTTGATGAGATATCAGGCTTTTGGTTCTTGTTTCCTTTGAGAAGCAAGAATTTCATTGTGATCTAATCTCTTGTTGTGCACCTTGCGCACCGGAGGTGCTGCCGAAATTTTCGCTGCGCACAACACCAGTTTGCATGATTAATTTCTCTGCAATTGATTAGAACTTTAGAAATATTTCTCAAGTCCACTATAAACCCTATAGCGTGGATAAGGATGATGGGTTAAATAATAATGCCTCTCCGTACCCTTTTGCCTTCGAGGCATTCCCTTTAAGAATTTAAACATGTTAATTTTTATTAGAGAGTGTTAGTCTTAATCATGGTTTTCTTAATTATCACCAATCACAAAAGCATGAGCTACGCCATTGAAGGTTGAAGAGGATCCAAACCATAGAGAGGATAAAAGTCTTCGCCCTAAACAAATGGCAATAATAACAACAACGGTACAACTAAAGTTTCATAGAGAATATATTTTCCTACATCCAATTTGTATGGAGTACACGTGGACAATGATTTTGGTACGTTTGTCCTAACTATGATTAATGGAAGAACTACTGTTAGTTATAAGGAGGTGACCTCAGCGTTGGTGAATTATGAGTTGAGGAAGAGTGTTGATGAGTCCTCCGAGAAGGCATCGGGAGATGCATTAGTAGTTCATGGCCGTGGTTCAAACCGAAGCAGGAGGTCGCAGTCTAGAGGTGCATATCGTGGGATTCGTAGGAATCAGTGTGCCTTTTGTAAAGAGGATGGACATTGGAAAGCTGAATGCCCAAAGTTAGATCGAGCCGAGAAGAATAAGGGGAAAGCTGTACAAGCTCCAGAGGTGAATGTTGTCAAGACTAATGGCAACAATTCAGATTCGGATTCTTCAGGCTATTCATTATCTGCACTACCGTCAGTTTGTATTGCCAACTCTACAGAGTGGATGTTGGATTCGGGTGCTTCATACCACGTTTGCCCTAGGAGGGATTGGTTCTCCAGCTTTCAGAAGTTGGAAAGAGAGGATGTTGTGCTCATGGGTAATGGACATGCATGCTCTATTGGTGGTATTGGTACCGTTCGAATTAAGATGAGTGACGGGATGGTACGGGAGTTGGAAGAAGTGAGGTTCGTTCCGCAGTTGTCGAAGAACATCATTTCACTAGGAGCTTTGGTGGCATCTGGCTATAAAGTGACCTTGGTGGATGCACGTTTGAAGGTCACATTGGGGTCCATGATTGTAATGAAGGGCGTCAGAAGGAGCAATTTATATTATTTGCTTGGAAGCACGGATCATTTCACTTGGAGCTTTGGAGGCAGCAGGTTATAGGGTGACCTTGGTGGACGCACGCTTGAAGGTCACATTGGGGTCCATATTTGTGATAAAAGGTGTCAGAAAGAGCAATTTGTATTATTTGTTCGGATGCACGGCGATTGATAGGGAGCTGACGACTTCATCAGATTCGGCTAGACTGTGGTGTTGTTTGATGCTGGGTTATTTGATTGGTAATGCCGTGCATAGGTTGTTGAGGAGTGTTTTGACCTACAGTTTGAAATCCTATGAACCCATTGGTATGAGCAAGAAAACCGGGGTGGAGTTTGGCACTTCTATCCATCATTCGAGGGGTCTTCTGAGGGGTGTTTATTCAGGCATTCGGGGGCCTTCTAAGGGAGCATTATTGGGAGGTAATAGGTATGTGGTTTTCGCAGTTGGTGATTGCTCTAGGCATTGGTGGGTTGCAACCAAGTCCCGTTGGTGTGAAGTCCTAGAAGCCCGCAACAAATGGAGGAAGTGTATTGGCAGAAAGGTGAAGGTACTTCAGTCTGATGTTAGAAGGAGGTACAAGAGGGACCTATGTCTGCATTCGTGCCGAGCTCACGGCAATTGGAGACACTTCATTGGTGTGGAAACTTTGAGGCGACATGATGAGATGGCAGATTTGGGGAGCTGTTCCTTTCTGGAGGAGGATCAGCATTTGATGTCGAGCATTGGCATTGGTATGCAGGCTACGACATGTTTGGGTCGTCTTATGTATAGGTTGCCGACTGCTGCATGTAGAGATTTTGGATCTGGTGGAGCTGCTTCAGATTTTGGGTTGCGTCGGATGTTTGGCTACCCAGCACTTGGTCACATCGTGGATGTGAGATTTGATCCGATAGCACATTTGGGATTCAGAGGCGTGTTTGATTATCAGGTATTAGCTTCTGACTTTGTTCTGAGCAGATATGTCACGTTTAACTCTCGGCAGGTGGAGAGTGGTGATCAAATCTTTGGGACATCGCAGCAGGTGGAGAGTGATGCTACTTCACGTTGGGTGGAAACTCCAGATCATACTGCATCATTTGGGATTCCAGCTGATGTGACACAGATTAGGAATCATGTTGATTTGGATGCAGATGATAGGTTGATTGATTCGAGTGCAGCTGATAGATGTAGTCTAGACATGGCCGTTGGTTCATCTCAGGTGGAGGTGTTTGGATTGTTTCAGTTTAGGGCCATTGGAGGTGCTATCAGCCGCAGACTTGATCATGATGTTGGAGAAGGGTTGCAAACTCTTCTATTGGATTGAGGTCGTTAGCGGCCATTTGGGTGAACTACGTTCGGCTTGATTCCTTGGGCAAGAGGATACGTAGGCAGTCTTTATGATGCAGCCGATTTGGTGAGCGACATCGACATTTGGGGTGAGTGTTTGCACTCCCATTTGGGTCTCAGCAAGTGAGGCATTTGGTGTAGTCGGTGTAGGCTCAGTTTGATTCGGTGAGTAGACACTATTTGTTTTGGGTTGAGTGTTCGCACTCCCGTTTGGGTCTCGACCTGTTGTGGATGGAATCCGTTGTCATGAGTCCGTTGCCATGACGTACTGGATACAACAAGTGAGGCATTTGGTTTGGTCGGTGTCGGCTCAGTTTTGGAAAAACTTCACCGAGGTGGAGAATTGTGAATGGGTGGGGGCCACAGTGTTGGCCAAGTAAACCGCGTGAAAATGATTCACGTGAAATGATAATGGACCACGGGTGAAGGCAAAGCTAAGATCCAGCGGACAAGTCCTGAGGCCCAAGTTCGCATTGGTTGTAAACCGCATCACTAGGCTATTTATACCCACGAGATTTTCTAGGGTTCCGTGCGCAAGTTTGGGGTTTACATTGGCGGTTGCAGCAGGAGAAAAGAAGGAGCAGGGGCTGTCTCTTCGGGTGTGCAGAGGCGGCATTTGAAGTCGGCTGTTCTCTTTTCTTTGGTGGCGCTGGCAGAAGGCTTTTGTTAGGGTTTTGTGCATCGTTTTGAGAGAGATATTTGTATGAGGGATTAGAGAATTTGTGAGAGGGTTTAGGTTGTGTGATTGTAAACCCCAGTTGTATCTCTCCCTCTAATAGTAGATCTCCCCCTTCTTGCCCCGTGGACGTAGGCTATTTGCCGAACCACGTAAAAGTTGTGTTCTTGCCGTGATTTGTAATAGCTTGTAGGATCCCTCGACGCGCAGTCCTAGAGCTGACGAGAGGACCCTCGACGCGCAGTCCTAGAGCTGACGAGAGGAAGAGCTGATATCTCACTTTGATGAGATATCAGGCTTTTGGTTCTTGTTTCCTTTGAGAAGCAAGAATTTCATTGTGATCTAATCTCTTGTTGTGCACCTTGCGCACCGGAGGTGCTGCCGAAATTTCCGTTGCGCACAACAGAGCCAACACGTGTCATATATCATCATTAATTAATCATGCCAGCTCACCCTAGCCGGGGGCGAATTGGGTCACCTGGGCACTAGACCCTTCTCAAGTCGGACCGAGTCGAGACCAGCTCTCGCCTGAGCTTATCAGACGAGTCGACCATCCTCATCAACTCAGAGCTGAATCGACAACTTGTGAGGCCGACTAGAAAGGTGGTACTTGTCGTCCCTCTCGCAGAGCCGAGTCAAGAAGTTGTTCGACCTCGAACCCCACACAACAGCTATTTAAATATTTCATACAACTTGATAGTTTTGAGGGATTATTTGTATTCATATATAATAACTTGGGAGATTTACATTCAAATAGATGAGATTCGGAGAATTTGTATCTAACTTTGATGATTTGTTCACTTGTGTCTA